TTCTACCTGCTCAATGTTCAGCAACACCAAATGGAACACAGAGGATGATTTAGAAAGTAATTCTTGACTGGAACATCTAACCAAACTGGCAATGGGAATTTTTAAGGCCAGAACAGGAGACACCTGGCAGCGTTTGGATTAAAAAACACCCAGGAAGATCATTGGTACTTTCAGCTCCAGCATCAGTGATACTGCCTGAGGGTGAGATGCCCCTGCACGAGAGCCCCAAAAAGGATACTTAAGAACCACAAAAACAACTGCCAAGAACACACCGCTCTCTCTGGAGAGGTTACAGAAGCGTTCCTTGCCTGCCGGGGCACCAGACCTGGCCAGAACAGGCTGTTCTTCTCAGACATGAAGCTGTTTGAATTTTTCCCAAACATTTCCATCAAACAAATGAATAATTCAATTTTTATTTTAGAACTTTTTAATGATTTTTATGACTTGATTTTTTTTGTTTGTTTGTTTTTTTCGTTTGGAAGTACAATAAAAGAACGTTTGTTGAAGGGAACTAGCATATGGTTTTGGTTGAGGGAAGGTGGTGTCTTGAAGTTGATAAAAAAGAAAGATCTTGTATTTTTTCACATTTGTTCCAAATAGATTTGTTTTTTAATCATTAGAATGGATGCTCTTGCTCATACCATATCACGCGTTTTTCTTTAGTGAAGTGAGAAACTAAGTGAGAGGTGGAACCGTCCTGGAGCTTTTTGGGCTTCCAAATGCAGAGCCAACAGGACATCTGGTTGGCAACAGCCAGCCCCTTCACGACTGAAGCCAAGCACCGACAACACCTCTCTGAATTGAATGCTTTTTAGTTCCTCAAAGTGTGCCAATTAAATCCCAAGAAGCCTGTGTTGTTTTATCAAATTAAGTAATAACTTTGTTTTCAAGTGCCTTCCATTAAATGTAGCAAGTTTTGTGTGATATATTTAACCAGTAAAATAATTCAATAAATGATTTGTTCAAAAACTAGAATAAATAAATATTGTTACTGAAACAAACACAATTGAATACACTTTTACTTAATGTACTGGTTCCCCCAATAATGAAAGTACTATAAATTAAATTAAATGAAAATGTCCTTAATTTATCTAAACAGACCAAACAAAACAGTAAACAGTAAGAATAAGTCCAAATTTGTACTATAGTTTTTGGGACATGAAACAGAAAAACCGTAATATTATCTTTTTCTTTAAAAAATATTTTATATTATAATGCCGAAGATGACCAAACAATTAAAATTTTTCAACACTATATCTACCTTGGATAGTTCCCTCGCCAAACTCCCAAAGCCTCTGTTTAATGACCGTTTGCTCTTTGGGTCGGTGATGGGGGTCTGTCGGGCCAGGGGGGTTTTCTCCCTCTTCTCCGTTTCTTGTAGCTTTCGTATTTTCTTTTGATTTCTTCATGTGCTTTATATGAATTTTCGTAGTATTGGCACTTGCTATTACAGCCTGTTTACAACTAAAACAAACTGCGTTTGTTTTTCATTTTGTACCTGAAACAATCAAGCCACAACGCTCCTTCTTCTCCTCACCATTTTTTCCTTCTCCGCTCTCAATGTTGGTTTGTGTGTTGTTGTGGTGGTTGTGTGTTTGACTACTGCCGAAACACCTGCTTGCTTTGTTTTACCTGGGTCCACGTTGACATTAAAGCTACCAAGAAAAGGGCAGAGTTTGGGGGCCATGGGCTTGCCTCCGGCTGTAACAAGGACGGCACTCCAGAGACAGACAGCCAGCCCCAGCGCGGACAGGAACAAACCACACTGAAACCTGAATACGATTCCTCATACACTGTTAAAATTGAAAATTCAATATCAATACCAACGTTTGGATCGATATATTCGATATTTGGATCGATCCGCCCACCACTATGTAAGCCCTCAAACGTCCCAAAATCCTGACAGCAAGCTGTCCTTTTTTACCAGTTCAGCACTTCTGCCAAACTCACATTTACAGTAGAACCTACAAGCGGACCCAGCCCGTTCTTTTATCCACAGTCCTGAACCCAAAAAACACAATGAAAAAAACGTCCTTTTTGTTGTTCTCTTGGTGTCACGTTTTCCATCAGCAGGGTTTAAGATTCACATTTAACATATTTTTTATTGCCATTTTTGCCTCAAAAGACAAACCAAGAATTTGTTTAAGTTTTTCCTTTTTCCAACTTCAGAATGATAAAACTATATGTTGGGGGAATGTGAATCCAATAACTGAAAAATACCTACATCATATTTAAATTATGTTGGTGTGTGGGGTGGTTGTTGGTGGTGTGTGTGTGTGTATAAATGGTATTTAAACCCTTGTTTTCCCTTGCCAGGAAACACTCCCTGAAGTTTTTTCCCCTTACACTGGATTCTTCTTGGATCCCAACTCCCAAGAGTTTGGTGGGCTTTCTTGGAGTGGTTGAATGAAGAATTCTGTTCGGGTTAACTGCGACACCAATCCAAAAAGATGTAGACCAAAACAGGAAAACTGTTGAAAAAAATTTTGAAGATGATCCTCACATTGGAATTGTACAAACTAGAGAAAAATGTTTCGGAGTATCCTGCAAAACTGTTCAAAGCCACAATTCCATAATTGAAGCACGCTTCAACCAAAGTGGAGGTAAACAGTATGCAAGCCCCATATGTTATATTTTCACTGTTTTTACTGTTAACTGTTTCTGCATCTTAAAGTTTGTTAAAGTAAAATTAGACCGCCATCAAACATTGCCTTTTTTTGAACCGGAAACACTAGCTTGCCAGTCCAGCCAGTAATCCATAACTCAGGTCCTGGTTTAGACCTGTTTTGCCTGTCCCCACAACAAAACTTTCTCATCAATACTGAGGAATCAAAAAACCATTCCAATCCTATATCAAAATTATCCTCAACAATTTTTACAAAAACACACAGGAAAAAGCACAGCCTTCATTTTTTCTTTTCCCATTGAATTTCTTTAAATAATTTGACTTGAAGGGCTAACATCATTCTGTTTACAGTTTTCAGTCAGAATCCACCACCTTCAACACTCAAAGTTTTTACATGTTAAATAACATACTAACTTTTACGTTAAGATTCTGATATTGGTATCTGGAAACATTTTGGGCAAACTAATTTATCCACTTCTTTCTATGACCTAAATAAAGTTTTGTCATCAACACATATTAAAATTTAATATAAGTTTTTTGGAACGAATTTAAGCCAGTCACGTTTCTGAAACAAAACACAAAGTTTTTTGCCAGTCCAGTAGAAACGCAAAACTGTCCATAACTGCTCTAAAAGCCTTTTATACTAGATGAAACACAAAAAGTTTTGCTGCAATAAGGCCCGGAGCTTTCAGGCTCTTGAATGTTTGCCAGCTTCCACTTTCCCAGTTAATAATAGAAGTTTTACACAATAAGTTATGTTCAAATGAGTTCCTGGTCAGTCGTGTGGGGTCCACTCAAATTGTATCCAATGTTGCCAGGTTGGTTTTTTTGAGCCAGTGAACATTTTTTATTTAAATTGTATGCCTTTTAATTAAAGCAGCAAAGTTTTAAGGAAAAAAGAAATAGGGAGAACAGACAGATACAAAAAGTTCTTCGCTTGCCCCAACCCAGGGAATGTTTGTTAAAGTTCAATGGGTCCACAAGAAAAATGTGGTTAACAGAAATTTGGGTTTTTTCATCACTCATATAAAGAAGTGTAACTCTTAATCTGCCTTTGATCATGGAAAAAAAACACACCAACGTAATGAAAAAGAATGAAAAAAATAGAAAGTGCAAAAACACACTGCCCCAAATATCTGTTAAGATCAATCCTTCATTCTGACATCATTTGTTAATACGTCTCTGGTTCTCTGTTCCTCTTTTCTCAGGTTTTCCCCACCATTTTTACTCCACTGGGTTTAAGGTTCACACAAACTAATAAAAGTGAAGGACCAGGTGAATCTTTTTTTTATTTGTTAATTTCTGAGTGATATTATTATCTGTTTGTTTAGACATTCTCAACATGTTGATGAAAAAACTCTTTGTCCAAAATTCAGTGCAATATATTATGTATGTATTCAAACAAAGGCAGTTTAGGCGTACAAAACCCCCATGAGGTCATGAGACAGTCGAGTCAGGTTGGAGGTGTGTGTAATGCTAAAATACAGCAGCTGTCACAGCTTTGATAAAGAATATTCTGCTCAAATTTGTCTAGAAAAATAAGGTTAATTAAGTTTAGAATATGAGTCAAAATATCCAATATGATATTTGTTTTCTGAAAGATTAAGAACAAATGTTGCTGCTAAATTTGCTGAAGGTGTCAAGGGGAAAAACCTGTTTTTAGTTTGAAACTGGATCTTGGTCCGGTGTTTAAGTCCTTATCAGCCTCTGGAAAGGATATGCAGTGTGTTTTGTTGTATGTGATCATATATGCTATCATTATTTATTTTCAGTTTCAGTCAGTGAGATCCTTAACCTAAACGTTGAGGTTATTAAGACAAAGTTCAGACATAGTTGTCCTTAAGTTGTCCTCAACTAAAATAAAATTGAATTGCCATCAAATAATGATTAACACCACTTCACAAACTTCATTTACATCCATGACAACAAGTTCGACACTTATTTTTTTTAAATGATAGCCCAGTATCTCATGTCTGAAACTGCAACAATTGCTTTTGAGTGAAAGAATCACAATTTAACTAACATTTTGACTTCAAAACCATAATGTTGCATGACTGTAATTCTGTAGACAAACTACACATGGAAACCGGAGCACCAAGATTGGCTCTAACATTACTCATGTTTATTCATAAAATAAAATATATGATGTGTAGAATCTGAGTCATGAATGAACCATGAAAACGCTTGTGGCAACTTTATTTATGTTTCTGCAAAAGCGAAAATGCTTACTGTTCTTCCTCATTTTTACTTTCTGTTCCCAGTTAATCTTGGCTGATTCAGGAAAAACAAACATCCACAGTCCTGTACAGCCACACAGTCACAGTCATTGTTATTAGTCCTTTAGTATCAGCCAGAGCCTGAAAAGGACGTCAAACTTACTTTACCTGTGGTCTCTCGCAAAGAAATAACTCTACAAGTTTTATTGAGGCTAGAATATTGATGATTGATTGTCAAGTTCCCACAGCTAAGACACAGTGAGGGAAGGGAGGAGCCACTCTGGCCACAGAGAGGAGAGCTTTTGATGCCTTTAATTTGAAAGGAAGTAAGAAGGCTTAACTCAGCTGTTTTGAGTTGTTAAAAGCTATTCTAACCAGAAAATGAAGACCTTCATACTGTTGTCTGTCTTGCTCCACTTTGCAATTCCAGGTAAGATCTAATTTTATGTGTTTTCTTTTAACACTTGCTGAAAGCAGTTTACCAGTAAACACACAACACCCCATTTAAAAGGAACTGAAACATCATAGACTGCTTGTTCTTCAATATGTAATTGTAGTTACTTACAAAAAATCAATAAGTAAACAAAGAAAAAGAAAGAAAACAAAAGAAATAAAACTCACAGCCACACCAGGGGCTATAATTTTTTTATGTTTCCTTTCCATACACACATGTGCACATACATACATGCACACAAAATATGTATTTTATTTAGTCTATTTTTTGCTTATTTAACTTGCAAAATGCAAAACTTGTTATTTTAGTTTACTTAGTTTATCTGAAACTAAAATGAATATTTAAAAGGGAACATATGAAAGATCTTTGAGTTTATTCGGTGTAAGAAATATTCAATGCAACTGTACGTATTGTGAAATTATGTCAGTATACAACTTCAATTTGTGACTCTTACTACCCAAAATTAATAAGCAAAAGTGTTTCTCAACCCAGATCTGACTGAAATGTTTTCATTTTTGTTTTATTTAAACCAATCTGTGAGAGCTCAGTGATAAGCTGCAGCTCAGTGTTAGTTTCACATTTCACAAGGGCATCTTTATAAATGTTAATTGGTTCTCAATTGACTTATCTGGTTAAATAAAGGTAACATAGATTAAAAAGGATCCTAATTTAAACATGTGTATGTTTTGCAGTGAAACACTCCCTGAAGTATATTCTCACTTCTTCTTATGGAGTCAGAGGTGTCCCACAGTTTGTGGCTGTCGCAGTGGTTGATGAAGTTCCGATGGCTCACTGTGACAGCAACAGACAGATACCACGAGCCAAAACTGACTGGATGGAGAGATTTTTCAAAGAGAAAATTGAGCGCTTGCAGTGGTACACTAACAGGTGTACTGACAACGAGTACGACTTCAAAGACACCATTAACAGTTTGATGTCTCGTTTTAACCAAACTGGAGGTATGTTCACAAATGTTTTTCATCCTGGTTTGTTGTAAAGTTGCAAACATATAGTCTCCATTTTAATTTACAAGCATCAAAATAATCCTCTGTTTTGGTGTCTGTGGGTCATTGTGTCTCTGGTAAAGATGTAATACAGAAGACTGTGCTGTGATCTCACTCTGGTTTAATACTGTTTCTGTCTCTGTCTCTCTCAGGTGTCCACATTTTCCAGAGGATGAATGGCTGTGAATGGGATGATGAGACAGGAAACACCAATGGTTTTAATCAGTATGGTTATGACGGTGAAGACTTCCTAGCCTTTGACCAAACAACACTGACATGGATTGCTCCAAAACCACAGGCTGTCATCACCAAACACAAGTGGGACAGAAATATAGATAAAATTATGCTTTGGAAGAACGCCCTTAACCACAAGTGCATTCAGTGCCTTAAGGAGTATGTGGAATATGCAAAGACCTCTCTGCAGAGAACAGGTAGAATCACACGGCCTGATGTAGACACCAAGTCCCCATAAACATGGGAATGTGAACTCGTTATAAAGGGTTTATACATTGTAACTAATATCTTCAAAATGAGATTATTGTTGGCTGTTTTCTCCGGATTATCAGGGTTGTCTGAGCATCAGTGTCAGGTTTCTGGCCAGGCTCACTCAGTCAGTAGGTAGTTAATGTAATACTCTGATAATCTACTGGGTATTATCTGTTCACTTCTGGATAGCAATAAAGTCTGTGCTCAGGCCCTGTACCTTTTATAACTGAGCCTAAAGATCAGCTGGCTAATAAGACTTAACGCCATCTTCTTTTGGAAAAACAGAGCTTTGTAATGTCAGGCTCATAGGGTTTAACATGGTTATAAAATATGTTTGGATTATAGTTAAAAGTTAAAATTGGTTGTGTTAAGATTTACATCCCATGTTTGTTATTCTGGGAAGGATGTACACATCTCAGTTTGGTTTTTCAGGAGGCCTTTCACTTCAATACCCTGGTAAAACTGGTTACATTCAGGTTTATTTGAGTAGGTCTGTAGAATGTTTTATGGCATAGATAGAAAATGCCACCTTTGTCTATGAGATCATTCAGTTCTTAACTGAAGCTGTCTGTCAATGTAATTTTTGGTTTTATTTCTCTCGCTCTCTCTCTCTATCTCTCTCTGCAGACCTTCCCTCAGTGTCTCTCCTCCCAGAAGACTCCCCTCCTCTCTCAGTCAGCTGCCACGCTACAGGTTTCTACCCCTGACAGTAGCCACCCTCATCTGGAGGAAAGGCGGAGAGGGGAGTTCATGAGGACGTGGAGCACGGAGAAAGATTCTCCTCAACCATGATGGATCCTTCCAGTATTGAGTGTTGGACCTGAACCTTTCATCAGTCACACCTGGAAGACTGGAGGAAGGTACGACTGTGTCTGTTCAGCTCTCGCGCGCGCGTGGTGGAAGAAACCGACATCGTCACCAAACTGCGGACCAAAGCAGGAGATGCAGGACCAACTGGGGTAAGACTGACTTATTATACTGTATTAACTCAACTCCATGTCTTAGTTCACAGCAACAGATGCACATATGTATGTATGAGTAAATTGTTGGATAGATGAATGTACTTCTAACCTGCTGTAGCTGTACTTCTCATTTTTTGTTCAGCAGAGAAGTCCAGTGGCATGGCCGTCACCATCACTGCTGCAGTGACTGTTCCTGTTCTCATCCTTTATTTTACAGTTTGAGTGATAGAAGAGGAGATTTCAGTGGGGTTTAGGTGACAAAAGATATTCTGGCATTTACAACTGTAACTGAAACTATTTGTTTTTCAGCCAAATGCCTTCCATCTTGTAAGTAAAGGTTGCTTTTTATTATTTAGTTCTCAACTGATCTGACACACACTTAATGATGTGGATAAAAACAGTTTCACATTATTGTGCAGACTGACTTTTTCATGATAATGTTTTCCTGTATTTAATGTTTATAAAGGTTCAGTGCAGGTTGAGTGGACTTTCACTGTTTGTTTCTGACCTTACAGCTCCTGACAACAGCTTCGAGCTCTCACCCAACTTTTGGCACATTTTAGTGTGTATTGAATTAAACATATTGCTCTTTCTTTTTTGTGCTTTTCAATGAAGTCCCCAAAGTGGCTCATTTTGTCCAGTCCACACTCATCTGTTATTATAGTTGCAGTGATATGAATATTAGCATTCAGTATTGTCACAGAGGAGTTGGATGAGAAGGCTGAACAATGTCCGGACAGACTAGCTTAGCTTACCATTAACACTGCAAGTAGGCAGAAAACAGCGGTGCCTAACAACTTCAAAGCTGGCTGACATAAATAAAATTGTTTCTACAATAAATATTTTCTTTTACAACAAAACAAAATCTGCTTTTTTCTGTTCAAAATGAGCTTAAATGTAAAGTTGAATGGTCAGTAAAACCTTGTTTGAGTCCCCAGGTTTATTCCACTTTGGTCTCATTTGTTTTTTCAATTCTTTTATTTTGGTTTCTGTGGATCAGTTGTACATTCGGCTCCACTACAACAGAAGAGAAGAGGGTAGAATACTCTCTATCCTATGATTCTCTATGTTTTAATATATGTTTATTCAGCTTAGGTTTGTCAGTAAGGTTGACATTTTTAAATTCCCTAAAGAATTCATGGCCTCCAGTGTCGTGTGTAAAGAAAAAGGAAAAATAATAGTGAGGAACAAAACATTTTTTCTACTCTTTACATACACGCATGTGTTAGTTAATGCATGTTAATTTCGAGGGATAAGGTCTCATTCCCAGGACATCAAATACCAACGTTTTGGCGGCCCAATGCATCTGTCTCCAGAATAACTGACCCCACCTCTAAGGGTGTGTTTCAGTAACTTTCCACTAGAGGGCAACAACTACTGCAAAGAAGTGGTTTATGATGCTGATTGTAAAAATTCCCTGACTGAGAAATTTTGGCTCATCTGGTTGAGTGTGCACCCCATGTACTAAGGTTGAGTCCTTGCTGCAGTGGCCCAGGTTCGTTGTATTTTATTGTATTTAAATGTACCTGGCTGCTATGACGACCCAATTTCCCTTCGGGGATTAATAAAGTCTATCTAATTCCCTCTCTCTCCCCACTTTCCTGTCACTATTCAGCTGCTCTATGAAAAATTAAGGCAATAAAAAAGCCCCCCACACCCCAAAAAAGAAATTCCATGTTCAATAAAGAATATTCTGTTTTTATTTTATTACCTTTATCAACAACAAACACCCCTTTTTTTCTTTTCTCTACTGGAAAACATAAAGAAAATAGAAGCTCTTTAAAGACTTGGAGAGTTTTTAAAAGATGGCTGTTGCCCCTTGACAAGCAGAGTCAAAGAGTTTAGTGGAAGTAAGCAGGAACAAGTTACAGACTCAAATTAAACAATATACACAGAACCAGAAAATGTATTAAGTGTTTGCTGAACATAAAAAATATGCTCTAATAATTAAAAAAATATATTTAATTAATTATTTGCTAATTTGCTAAATATTTTAAATATATATGTTGTATTTCCTGCTTTTGTATAAATATAGTCTATTGCTATTTGTTTCCACAGAGGTTCACATTAAAGATTTTATAATTTCCTCTTTAAATTGTATGAAATTATAAATGTTGTGTGTACACATTAGGTCTAGTGGAGTAAGTTAGTTTTGGTCCCACATCAGACCCAGATAATTAAATGAATGTCCTGCTCCTTGATAAACAGTCGAGAATAGGCCTGTCCTGAACAAAAGTGAGTGCAGGCTGGAGGCAGGCCAGCAGGGCGCAGAGTAAGATATGTAAATAGCAGCAAAAGTGAGGCATAAAGTTGAACAGTTGAACATTCACAGTTCTTTCAACCAGGAAACAGCTCGGTCCTTTACCCACCCGACTTTATCAAATCAAGATGAAAACCTTCTTTTTGTTGCTTCTCTTCTGTCACGTTTCATCAGCAGGTAAGATCTCATTTTAAAACTTTACTGTAAACTCTTCCACTCAGCTCTGCATTTTGTTCCTATTCTAGGACACACTCGTAGTTTAGTTTCACTTTTACCTAAAATAATAATCCTGATGTGTTTCAACTGAATCATACTAAATACATCATATTTATGTTGAGTGTGGTGATTGTGTGTGTATATTTATACTTAATGTATGAACCTCTCTGTCTTGCAGTGAAACACTCAATGAAGTATTTTGTAAGTGCATCTTCTGGAGTCCCAAACTTCCCAGAGTTTGTGGGAGCTCTAGTGATTGATGAAATTCTAACAGGTTACTGCGACAGCAACAAAAAGATAGTAGAACCAAAACAGGACTGGATGAAAAAAATATTTGAAGATGATCCTCAGCACTTTGAGTGGTACACTGGACAATGTTCTGAGTATCAGCCAAACTTCTTCAAAGCCACAATTGATAATTTGAAGCAGCGCTTCAACCAAAGTGGAGGTACAGTGCTAATGTTATATTTCCCTTTGTCTGTAAAACCGATATAGCTTCTATTAGAAATATGTACTCATGTGCTCACATGTGTACACTGTAGGCATCTATTTAGAGCTGAGACTGCAGGTGTCACACAGGTGTGACTTTGTTTATTTTTTTTAATATGCATATAATGCAAGAGGACATACCCACTTTGTTTACCGTGATAGTCTATTGTCAGTACATACAACAGTTGCTACCACTGTAACTTTTAATTGCAAAATAAAACTTTCATCATTTCTATAAAGAAAAAGTGCATTGATTATCTATTTTTATTATCTTTCCACTGGAGATTTCATCTGTATTCTGTACATTGTTAATTACAGTCTCTGTTTCTGTCTCTCTCTCAGGTGTCCATATTTTACAGGAGATGTTTGGCTGTGAGTGGGATGATGAGACTGGAGAGGTTAATGGTTTTAATCAGTATGGTTATAATGGAGAAGACTTCATATCTTTTGACCTGAAGACATTGACATGGATCGCTCCGAAACCTCAGGCTGTCACCACCAAACTGAGATGGGATAATGACAAAGCTAGAATAAAATACAATGAAATCTACCTCACTCGGATTTGTCCTGAGTGGCTGAATAACTATTTAGATCTTGGCAAGAGCTCTCTGCTGAGAACAGGTAGAATCACATGACCTGATGTTCATTCTTGATCATTCTTCTCTGACTGTGGTGCTTCATAATTGTTGTTGAGTATATACAGACAATGAAGAGATTGTAGGTTGTTGAGTAAGCAGTGGAGAAGAAGATTGCCAGGAAGTAAACATGGATGATGCATGATTTTAATATTTAAAAATATTTAAAAATGTTTCATACACTTTTTTTAAAAAACTGAATATACACAAGATTTGTTTGTTTACAAGGAAACCTGGCCCTCAGAGAGAACTTATTACTTATTTAAAACATTATTTTTGAGTCTAAATTCAATCTTTTTATTATGCTTAGAAGAATTTTCACACCTTCTGTTATTGATTCCCTGTTGAATTTATTTTTCTTTCACCTTGTTTCTTTTCTGTTCACTGTTTCTTGTCTTTCTCTTCCACCTTTTTCTTTCTCGCTCCCTCTTCCTCTATTGTCTATATCCCTTTCTCTCCCACTTTCTCTCTGTCTCTCTCTTTACTCTCCAGACCTTCCC